TTTGGCCCGAGCAGCTGGGGACAGTAGAGTCATTTTCTGAGCTGGAGTAGGCTGCTGGTGGAGCAGGTTGGAGGGGCCATTTCTGTTGACCCCTTGGGGCATGGTGTTGTCTTCCCTAAACCAGGACATAAACTGTTTTCACCAGCATGTGACATTTCCAGTGGGGACAGGGTGCTTAACCACTCAGGGTCCCCGTGGCCTCCTGCATCAGGCACCTTAACCAGGAACTCAGACCTCCAGGGCAGCAGGAGGGCTGGGGTTGGAAATGGCTAGCTTGAGGTGGCCTTGCCCAGAGGCAGTGTGGCACAGTGGCAAGGGGCTGGGCCCAGGCATCAGAAAGACCTGGGTGCATTGGTTGCTTTCTCAAAAAAGTCACTTTCCCTGTCTGAGCCTCCCCACGCTGTGAAATGGAAGCGGTTGAGGGCATGAAATGAGGTGCTCAGAGCACAGTTCTTTCTCTCCAGGCTGGAGATGGGTTTGAAGCCTCACAGAAGCAGGGGGCGTGGGCGTGGGGCACTGCAAGGTCGCTCCCCACATTCTGTCTGCTGTAGACACTGCTTGACATTCAAGAAGCTCCATCCGGAGCCATCTGGGAAGGAGCCACACCTGCAGCTGGGTCCAGGAGGCCAGGGAAGTTCCCTTCCAACCACAGAGGATGTGGGAGGTCCTGCCATCTGCCGGGGTTACCTTTGGGGAAGTGCTCTCGCTGTGTGGTCGTCCAGGCGGTCTATGGGCCCGGCTGGCTCTCCTCCCAGATAACCATAGCTGAAATTTCCAGTCACATGTGGGCCAGGACTGACCGACATCTTCCTTCCTGACTGCTGCCCCCTTGGGGGCCTGAGCCCAGGCCTCACAGGCCACTTGCTCCAAAATGCAAAAGGCTGAGAAATCACTAATGTGGGTCAGTTCATTCCAGTGCATGTGTGTGTCACTTCTTGATTTCTCCAGTTTCACTAGATTTTTGCAACCAAAGGGGATTTTCTCAGCTGGTGACAAACCTGGCACTAAGATTACGGCTGTTTAACGCACAGCAAAAGGCAGTTGCAGCTTATCTTTTTTTTTTTTTTTGGTGACAGGGGTTGAACCCAAAAGCACTTTATTATTGAGCTACATCCCCTGCCCTCTTTTTAAATTTTGAGTCAGAGTCTTGCTAAGTTGTTGAGGTTCTCCTTCAGTTGCCAGCTTGTGAACTTGAGATCCTCGTACTTGGACCTTAGCGGTCTCTGGGACTATAGGTAGCGCGTGCCACTGTACCCAGAGCCATTTGTCTCGTAGTCATCCGAGGGCAAGGAAGGGCAGGACCTGAAGAGCATATGAGTGATGGGAGGTCTCTGCTGCACTGAGAGAAACAGAGGAGACAGGGGCCTTGTGCAGAAAATCCATCTTCTGACCTGGCTGGTCTTGTTGGAAATTTACCAAATTCAGTCCCAGAGGGCGCCTGTAATCCAATCGCAGTGGCTCAGGAGGCTGAGGGAGGAGGATCATAAATTCAAAGCCAGCCTCAGTAATTTAGTGAGACCCTAAGCAGCTCAGCGAGACCCTGTCTCTAAAATATAGAAAGGGCTGGGGATGTGGCTCAGTGGTTAAGTGCTCCTGGGCTTAATCCTCAGTACAAAAGAAAAAAAAAAGTTTTGTGGCTGTTAAAATCCAACAGTTGCCTCTAATCTGATGAAAGATTAAATAAGCAACAAATTAAAGTATCCATTGATAACATTCCAGTTTAGCTCAAATTCAAATGGAGTGAGAGGGACCTGTGGGGCGGAAATGACCTCGGATGAGGCTCATCTATCCCCAGCCACAGCCAGTTAGCCGGGGTCCTGCCTGCCTTTAAGGCACTCATGAGAAAACTCCATCTTTCCCTACAAATCTAGAGGTTAGGAGCAGAGTCAAATTATCCAGGAATCCAAGGAATGTGACCTGCCTGGGCTGACGGAGGGGGATCCAGGGGCATGGCTGCTGGGTTTGTCCGGTGACCTTACTAGGGCTTGCTGTAGGGCTGCCTGAGTGTTAAGTTGGAACACCTGCTTGTGTTCTGTGTGCTCTTTCTGAGTGTCAAGAATTCTGAGATGCTGCAGTGGAGGGTCTGTAAAGACCCAGATCTCTGATTTTTTTTTCTTGTGGTGCTGGGAATGGACCCCAGGGCCCTGAGCTTGCTAAGCGTGGGCTCCACCCCTGAGGCGCACCCCCAGTCCTATTTAAATTTCAATGCTCCTTTCTAATTTATGACCTTGGCTTCTGGTTGGCGGGAAACAACTCTGTGTCTTTACCCCTAGACCTTACCTTCTTCAATGCCTGCAACTAGTGCTCTTAAAGCCAGAAACGCTTTCAGATTCATTCTCCAAGAGTCAGACATTTTCTAAGTCACTGCTGGGCTCAGGCTCATGATGTTTCTGGCATGACCTGGGCTTCCTGCTATAGCTTAAAAAGTAAAGTAGCCCTGGGTTACTCACTGTTTTATTTATTTTGTGTGTTGGGGATCAAACCCAGGGGTGTTTTTTTTTTACCACTGAGCCACATTCCCAGCCCTTTTTAATTCCCTTTTTCTTTTAAAGAGAGAGTTGGGGGGGGGAGAGAGAGAGAGAGAGAAATTTCTTTAATATTTATTTTTAGTTCTCGGCAGACACAACATCTTTGTTGGTATGTGGTGCTGAGGACTGAACCCGGGCTGCACGCATGCCAGGTGAGCACGCTACCGCCTGAGCCACACCCCCAGCCTCCCTTTTTCTTTTTATCAGTTCTACATGACAGTGGGAAGCTCATGGAACACCAACGGAGCAGAATTTTTCCCTTCTCTGGTTGTACATGAATTAGTGCCACACCATGGTGCCATTCATGTACCTAGGGTAATGTCCATTCATTCCCCCATCTTTTACCCCTTTGCCCTTCCCTCTCTTTAATTTTTATTTTGATAGATCCTTGCTAAGTTACTGAAGCTGCCCTCGAACTTGGGGTCCTCCTGCCTCATCCCTCCGTGAGCCTTGAGTTATTGGGAAAAGGGAAAATAGGAACGATCCGAATATCCATTAGTAAGTGTCAAAGTCTTTTCTTTTCTTGGGGCACTGAGTAGGAGTAGTTGATGGTCAGGCAAGGAACGTAATGGGCCTCAATTTTTTTTCCCAAATCACTCTATGGGGTTTACCTGGAGAAACATTCCAGCCAACTTTGTCCTGGAGCAGTGGGAAAACGGAAGTGGGGTAGATCTATAGAAATTATGGTAACATTTAAACCCAAGGGCTTAAAGGTCAATTGCAGGGTCAGGGGCCTTAACACTTTTCTAATACCTGTTTTGCATGGATTTTGCTCAGTACCCCCACCTGGAAGATAGATGATTAGCCCAGTGTCCCTAGGTTAATAAGTACATTTAGGTGGAAAACTTATCAGTTCCTCCCTTGCTTTAAGGGGAAAAAAAAAACCTAATAAATTTGTTCACTCTTGCCTTCTGTTATTGTTCGTGCATTTAAAAAATTTTTTTTTTCAGTTGTAGTTGGACACAATATCTTTTTTATTTATTTATTTTTTTATGTGGTGCTGAGGATCGAACTCAGGGCTTCACACATGCTAGGCAAGTGCTCTACTGCTGAGCCCCGACCTCAGCCATTTTTCAAATTTGCTAGACAAGAACCCAGGAAGAAATTGGTGAAACAGATAACCAAGTTCATTTCCAGCCCTGTTTTTAGTCCTGGGGATGGAACCCATGCCTCCATGTATGCTAGGCAAGCGCTCTACCACCAACCCACCCGCCAGCCCTGGTTTAGGGATCTTAATTGGCTTTTCTGGCCCTGGAATCAGCAACACTTCATTCTATAAAATAAAATGTTCTAAGAGCTCAGCAGATGTTAGTTTTGTAGACAGAAATGAGCTTAAGAAATTGGAAACAAACAAAAAAACCAAATAGGTAGGGCGAGGGCCACTGAGTTGTTTAGGGCCTTGCTAAGTTGCTGAGGCTAGCCTTGAACTCGGGATCCTCCTGCCTCAGCCTCCAGAGCTACTGGGATTACAAGTGTGCACACTATGCCTGGCAAAACATGTCAGTTTTAGAGGAGCGAGGGCTATATTCAAGCATAAAAGTGGACCAGTGTTAGATATAATTTTTGAGGTGCTGGGGATGAAACCCAGGGCCTTAACATGCTAGGCAGGCACCCTACCACCAAGCTACACCAGCAGATCTTTAAAAAATAACTTTTTGGCCCTGGGGATTGAATTTAGGGGTGCTCTACCACTGAACTACATCCCTAGTCCTTTTGAGACAGGGTCTCACTAAGTTGCTGAGGCTGGCTTTGAGCTTGCCATCCTCCTGCCTCAGCCTCCTGAGTCGCTGGATGACAGGTGTGTGCCACCATGCCTGGCCCCCACATTCTACCTTTGAAGGGAGAGTGTTATGTCTGCCACAAATTTGAACAACACAAAACCTGGAAGGAAATATCAACTGTCAAAGGGGACATGGGACTCAGGAGTCTGGAAGGGCTTCTTTTCCTTCTCTTTGCAGTGTTTCCTGTGTCAACTCTGACTGGTCCCTTGGCAGCGGTGTGGGGAGCTGATGTTTGCAGTGGGCATTCCCTTGAGGTCATCTGTGGCACTAACTGCATCACAGCTCAGGTGGTCACTGCTCTGCTCTGGAGGAATCTCAAACCTCCCTTCCAACACCAGAGGCTGACCAGGATTTGGTTTTCAGTACTCTTCATACTGAACACTGCAGGCGGGGCTGCTGTGCTCCGCCATCTCACTGTGCCTCCTGACAGGCATCGGGCACTCGCACGAGTGCCAGGCCTCCCATGCCAGAAGGCCAGGCAGGCCACTCGACTCCCTTTCACTCTCGCAGGGGGGAGACAGAGGGGCAAGGAGGCAGAGGACTCGTCCCAGGGACAGCAGAGCTGGGGCAGAGCTTCGGCTGAGGATGAGGCGTCCACGGCTCCACGGGGCCTTTGGCTCAGTTCTAGAGCGGGGAGCAGGCCAAGGCCCCTAAATGGAGCAGGATCTTCGTTAATGAAGCAGACCAGGACTGATTTCTTATAACTTTTATCATACATGCCGTATTCATGGAAAAATCAAGACCTTCAAAGGAAATCAAGTTAGATATGAGCCACGTTCAGCTCTGAGCTGGTCAGAAGCCGCGCTCAGCAGGGAAACAGCTAAACCGCAGCTTTCTTCTCCTTGTAGGTCGCCATCATCTTCTTGATTTCAGCAATAGCCTTCCCTGGATTCAGACCCTTAAAAAGGAGGAAAAAAAGGAAAATCAGTAACAAAGTCAGTGAGGGGGATGGGAGGACCCTGGAGACCCTGGTGGCGCCTCCCTGGAGGGCCCAGGGTCAGGGAAGGCCAGTGCCTAATTTCCAACAGCCCCGTTCTGGGCTAAGCTCCTGCGTGTCCTGCCAGGAGGCCCCTCCAGCGGGCCAACAGGGCACAGCCATGCTCACTGAGAGCCCAAAGACACCAGGCAGTGTCCCTTCTCAGACCACAGGCCAGTGTCAATATTAGCCAGACAACTTTTCAGGTCCTTTCCATTGTTAGTGAACCAGCAGCAGCAGCAGAAGCAGAAGCAGGTGCAAGCACATGACAGCCCAGGAGGCGCCATTAACCCTCACACACCTCCTGAGTCACACACCTCCAACACCACGGTCCTGCCTCTAGTGCAGCCCTGCAGCTGTGACCCCTGTTCTGCAGGAGGCACAATCCCCCCCACCCCACCCCCAAGGCCAGCTTCGCAGACGTTGGAAGGACACAGCAAGCATGTGGAAAACTAGACAAGGGCCTGCCGGGGTAGGGAGGGCCTCCTCATTTTTATTTTGTTGGCACTGGGGACTGAACCCAGGGACACGTCACTGTTGAAATTGGCTCCTGGCCTTTTTAACTTTTTGAGACAGGACCTTACTAAATTGCTGAGTCTGGCCTCAAACTTGTGAGCCTCTGTCTCAGCCTCCCAAGTTGCTGGGACGCAGGCTGACCTCTGTGCCCGGTGAGCCCTCTCATTTTAGGTTAACTCTGACCCTGAAATTAAAGTGTTTCCAGAAGAAAGGAAGGTGGGCGGGTGGGGGGGAGATTTTAAAAGAAAAAGAAGCGACATGGCAATGGCTGGAGCCCTGTCCTCACCGAAGCCCCACAGCTGTCCTGATGTTTGCTCAAAGAGGCCCGAGGCCCGGGTGGGGCTGCTGGGAACACAGAGGTTTCCAGGCAAGAAATAAGGAAATTGCCCAACTGGACGTGTGTGCGAGGGCAGGGCGGGCAGGCTGCAATCTTTTAACAGCTCCCTGGCTGCCCGGGAGTGTCCCTGCGGCTGTCTCCGGGCTCACTCAGTGACTGTGAGGGAAACTGCTCTTCCCTCGGGCTTGGCTCTAGGCAGCTGTGCTGGGAACCACAGGACCAGCGCTGGCAGCTGATCACAGGGCAGCCCATCACAGCTGGCGCCCTGTCTGATGTGGGCTGCATGGAAGCCAAGCTGGGCCATGCGATGCCCTTTCAGAAACTCTGACAGGCAGTGGCTGAGGCCAAGCGCGCGTGGTGAGGTGGAGTCCAGGTTGGGGAGAGCCGAAGGCAGCAGGAAAAAGAGGGGGCGAGGCCCAGAGAACCACAGCTCTGAGCCAGAGAGCTCTTCGGGGTAGAGGGAAACTGGAGCCGGAGGGGAGGTGGGGAGGGACTGGTGCCCACAGCTGCCTGTTCTGATGGCTTCCACCTCTGGGTCCTTGAAGTCAGCTGACTGCAGGTGCCTGCCTGTGGACTCCTACAGCACTTGACTCCCCCAAGGTCCTTGTCCTCTATAAGTAAAGCCTATTCCTGGAAGTGCCCGAGGGACTCTCTGGCTGAGGCCACAGACACTCTGGAGCCTCTCCATCTCCAGTGACCAGGTCTGCTCTCTGCCCATGGCCTGGGCATGCGCACAGCTACTCCTGAGGGGGGCTGAGAGGCAGCGGCCGCATACCTTGGGACAGGTCCTTGTGCAGTTCATGATGGTGTGGCAGCGGTACAGGGAGAAGGGGTCTTGCAGCTTGGCCAGGCGCTCCTCTGTGAAGTCATCTCTGGAGTCGATCATCCAGCGATAGGCCTGGGAAGCCAGGGGAAGATCAGTGGAGTTGTCACCTTAGCAGCCAGAGCAGCACTCTGGTGGCCCCAAGGGCCTTGGCATGCAGAAGAAGGGGCTCCTCTGGGCCCAGATGCTTTGACCCTGCACTCTTTAATTCCTGCCATCTTTCAAGAAAGGCTCCCAAGTTCTTCCCACCCTGCTGGGTGATCCCCAGGGGCCTTTCATCCCTGGTAATTATACGCTATTGGGCGTCAGCTCTTCTCGTTATTTTTCTTGCTGCTCAACAGTGTCCCACCCAGATTGTAATTAGTGAGGGTGGGGACTGTGGCACATGCTTTTAATCTGTCTTCACAGCACCCAGCTGTGCCAGACTCTGTCACTGAGTAAACCCATGACTTAACAGACCTGTCTAGAGACAATATTTGTCCCATTTGTTGATTCTCTCAATTCCTATATCCACTCCAGCAGCCAGAGATCAGAAAGGTAAAAGTGGATCAGCCACATGGTCTTGGGCTGCTCCAGTGGCACCACCGAGAGCTCCGCGGTCCCCGGCAGCTCAGGTGCTCTGGTGCGAGCGGCCCCTCGGCAATGCTGCTCTTGCAGCCACGCACGGCTCTTTATGCAGGAAAAAAAAAAAATTGAACTTTTGTCTTTTTTCACCCTTCAGTTACTTGGGATTGAACCGAGGGGTGGCCCACCACTGAGCTGCGTCCCCAGCCCCCTTCACCCACTTAGCTAACCTAACCTCACCTACCTTATTTGATCTAGGAATGATACTGGGGATTTGACCCAGGGGTGCTTTACCATTGAACTACATCCCCAGCCCTTTTCTATTTTGAGACAGGGCTCACTAGGTTGCTTAGGGCCCTGCTAATTTGCTTTAGGCTGCCCTCAAACTTGTGATCTTTTGCCTTAGCCTCTGGAGTTGCTGGGATCACAGGTATGTGCCACCACACTGGGAAAATGAAATTATCTTTTGAGTTAAGAGTCTGTGAGGGCTGGGGATGTGGCTCAAGTGGTAGCGCGCTCGCCTGGTGTGCGTGCGGCCCGGGTTCGATCCTCAGCACCACATACCAACAAAGATGTTGTGTCTGCCGAGAACTAAACAATAAATGTTAAAAATTCTCTCTCTCTCCCCCCTCTCTCACTCTCTCTCTTTAAAAAAAAAAAAAAAAGTCTGTGAGCTGGGCACAGTGGTGCTCACCTGTAATCCCAGTGACTCAGGAGGCTGAGGCAGGAGGATTGCAAATTCAAGGCCAGACTGGGCAATTTAGGGAGACCCTAAGCAATTTAAGGAGACCCTGTCTCAAAACTTTTATACAACGGGCGATGAGTGTGGCTCAGTGTAAAGGCGTGTCAACGTGAGGCCCGGAGTCACTGAAAGCCAGTGACCCACGAAGCCAATCACCCTGTGTGCTGACTGCCCATAGACACCATCCTACCCCTCAGAATGGTGGCCTCTTCCGAGTCCAGAAGTCCGACTTTCGCTCTCTCCTACTCACCTGCATAAGAACTGCGGGCCCCAAGTACTTGTCTCCATTCCACCAGTAGCTGGGGCAGCTGGTGCTGCAGCAGGCACAGAGGATGCACTCATAGAGCCCGTCCTGTGACGAGAGAAAGGGCAGTCAGGGCCTAGTGGCAGAAGACGCTGTGTCATTAGTGATGAAGTGTGATGATGGGGTCAGGGCATGAACAAGGGGTGTGAATGTTCTTGGCAAAACCTAAGGAGTGTGTGCAGAGATTTGTCAGGTTAAAATAAAAAGGCCTTGTAATTAGATACAAACATCCGTCTGATTAGAGCTCAGGGACCAAGTATGAGCACACTGAGCCTTTAATAAACGAGAATCCTTCACTGATATAAAAAATCAACAAAGACCTGGATAAACTTACCACCCAGCATCAAGTTGAGAGTGCAGAAGTTAAAAAACAGTGCTGCGCTTCTGCCCTTGGCCTGGCAGAGACCACGGGCATCCCAGGGGAGCACCAACCTCGTCCTCAGTTCCAGCCAACCCTGACGGGCTCCATGCTTTACCTGGGGCCCAGCTGAGGAGCACAGCGCGCCTGTGGGGCGGGGACCGCGGGCTCCCACTCACAGGTAAGAACCAGGCTGGGCGAGGCAGCCGGGGCCTGCGGCCAGGCACACACAGCAGAGCCAGGGGCAACCCAGAGCTCTGTCCCTGGCATCCCTGCTCTCCTGTGGCATCAGCTGCCACACAGGCTCAAGCTGCCCAAGAAATCCTAAAAGGCCACTTTCTGATTTTAGAAACAAAATAGATTAAAAGCAGCAAAACAAAAGGGACACACTGACACTGAGGTGAGAGCGGACAGGAGGGGAGACAGCGGCGGTCATGTCTGACTCAGGAGGGTGCAGGGGTGCAGGCTGGCCCCAGGCTCCAGAAAGCTAAGGTCAGAGAGGCTAAGCTCAGGCGGGGTCAGACTCTTGAACCCACCCAAGCAAAACTCTGTAAAAAGAATTAACTGAAAATTTGGGGCAGACTTTGAAGGATAAAGATATTAATCTAGCCTTATTTATAATAAAAGTTTAGAAGCAATCTCACTGTTCAACAGAGGTGGACGGCTGAAGAGCACAAGGTACCTACTCCTAGAGTAGCACAAACTGCTGGATTAACGCCGACAAGAATTAAAAAAAAAAATTTTTTTTTTGTTTTAGTTGCTGATGGACATTTTATTTATTTATATGTGGTGCTGAGGATCGAACCCAGTGCCTTACACATGCTAGGCAAGCGCTCTACCACTGAGCCACAACCTCAGTCCCTGACAGAATTTTTAAAAAAATATTTTTTATAGTAGATGGACATATACTTTTATTTTATTTTTTTATGTGGTGCTAAGGATCGAACCCAGTGTCTCATACGTGCTAGGCGAGTGCTCCACCAACTGAGCTACAACCCCAGTCCACAATAAGGAATTTTTTAAGAACACAGGTGAGTCTGGATGATAGTGTATGAACCTGCAATTCTATGTAATCTAGAGGCTGAGGCAGGAGGATAAAAAGTTCAAGGTCAGCCTGGGTAACTTAGCAAGACTCAAAGGAAATTAAGAAAGGACTGGGGATGTAGCTTAGTGGTAGAGCACTTGCCTAGTATGTGTCAGGCTCTGTAATTCTAATGACTTGGGAGGCTGAGACAGGAGGATTGCAAATTTGAGGCCAGCCTCAATAATTTGGTGAAACCCTCAGCAGAGCTGATGTAACTGGGAACATGAAATGACTAGTTGGGAGAGAGGGGCTGGGGGAAGTGCAAGGCTCTCTGGCAGTTAGAAGTGGCAGTGGACAGAGCTGTGCCCCAGTAACAAGGCACTCTCAGGAGTGGACATGAAAGGTGAAATTCATTTATTCATTCCAAGAACAATTTTTTACCCCGCTGTGGTCCTGGGGATGGAACTGAGGACCTTGTGCTTGCTGGACAAGTACTCTGCTACTGCGTCACAAACCCAGCCCTCTTTTGTTTTGAGACAAGGTCTCCCTAGTTGCCCAGGCTTGGACTTCTGATCCTTCGCCTCAGCTTCCAGAGTGGCTGGTATTACAAGCATGTGTCCCTCCACCCAGCTTTTTGCCTTTTTTTTTTTTTTTTTTTTTTTTTGGTGGTACTAAGAAGGATTGAACCCAGGAGTGCTCTGCCACTAAGCTACAACACCAGCCCCTTTTTTAGTTTATTTTTGTGGTGCTGGGGATTAAACCCAGGGCCTTGTGCATGCAAGGCAAGCACTCTACCAACTGAGCTGTGTCCCCAAGCCCTAGTCTTTTTTATTTTGAAACAGCTTTGCAAAGTTGCTGAGGCTGGCTGGCCTTGAACTTGTGATCCTCCTGCCTCAGCCTCCTGAGTAGCTGGGCTTATAGGCTGTGCTACCACCATGCCCAGCTTATACAACTAATACTCATTAATAAAACACTGTGCACCAGGATCTAGAGACCCAGAAAGGAATAAGGCCCTGTTCTTGAGATGTGTTGCTCTGCTAAACAGAGGCACATACGTCATTCTCCTAGGGAAATGGGAGGATTGTTCAGAGCAGCGACTGTGAGGCAGTCTGTGGCCTCGGACCCCTGCAGCTGGGGCTGTTTCTATCTGTCCCCTTCCCACCCCACCTCTCCACCAAGATACAGGGAGTGAACGTGCAAATCAGAAGAAGTCTGACAAGGGCAAAAGCACAGAAGAAGAGACTGAAAGATTCTCCTGTTTAAAATTTTTAGAGGCTGTCTGTAGGAACAGTAGCCAGAGCCCATGGCCCACCACCCGAGTAGGGGTTAGGAAAGAATCCGCGCTAATTCCACTTCTGCCCTTAATGTTTAGCTGTACCTGTAAGTTGGTGGTGACAGTAAGACTGCAACTAGGCATATGGGATATATTTCCTCACAGTGAGACCTCAGCCCTGCTTCAGCTATTAACTTATAAACACCAGGCACTTTTTTTTGGGGCGGGGGGTACCGGGGAATGAACCCAGGGGCACTCTACCACTGAGACACATCGCCATTCCTTTTTATTTTTTGTTTTGAGATAGGGTCTTGCCAAATTGCTTCCAACCTCACTAAGTTGGTGAGCCTGGCCTTGAACTTGTGATCCTTCTGTCTCAGCTTCCAAGTCATTGAGATTACAGAGGTGTGTCACCATGTGTCTGGCTCAAGCCACTTAACATATTGGTTTCTTCTGAAAAAAGACAAATGTCTGGCCACCTACCCTAGGGACAGGGCATGGACCTGACAACTCTTCAATTCACTCTGGGCCTTCACAGGCTCACATGGGCCCTTAGAGAAGGACTTTCAACACTTGGGCCAGATGCCCTTAAATTTTCTTTCCACAATACGCTAAATGGTTTGCATCGTCCCCTGTTGCTCCCCCAAGTCACACAAACATCTCTGCAATGAACCCCCTGAATCAAGACAATTAGTAGGAACCAATGACCAGTTTCTCACGATCTTCCATGGACTGCAGGTACTGCTGCTTGCCCTCCTGGGACTCATCCTTCTTCTTCAAGTAGGGCTCGATGGACTTGTACTGTGCATAGAAGTTGCTCAAATCCTGAGGTTCAGGGGGAGGAAGAAGAAAAGGATCAGATGACACCATCACTTCTCAGTTTCCCCCTCGCCTTGCTTCTTGGACACCACTTATTTTTCTGTAATAGACAGCAGAAGTCAGGCTCTTCCTGGACACCAACATATACAAAGGTCACAAAAGGAGAAATGGTCACTGTTACGGTCTGGCTATGAAGCGTCCCTCAAAGAGTCATGTTGAAAGCTTGGTCCCCAGCACAGCAATGTTGAGGTGTGGGGCTTTAGGAAGTGACTGGATCATGCGAGCTCTAATTGCTCTCTCTGCTTCCCCGCTGCCCTGAGCTGAGCAGCTCTGCTCTATCATGCTATTTTGGCGGTGGGGGGTGGGGGTGGGGGTGTAACCAGGGATTGAACTCAGGGCCTTCGACCACTGAGCCCCTTCCCCAGCCTATTCTGTATTTTATTTAGAGACAGGGTCCCACTGAGTTGCTTAGTGCCTCACTTTTGCTGATCCTCCTGCCTCGGCCTCGAGAGCCGCTGGATGACAGGTGTGCGCCACCGCTCGGCGTTACCACGGGCTTTTGCTATGATGTTCTGCCTCACATCAGGCCAGCCATAGAGTGACTGAGTGTGCTAGATAGACCTTTCTTCCTTTAAATTGTTTTTTTCAGGTACTTGGTTCACAGTGACAAAAAGCAAACTAACAGTGTCACAGTGTAAGCACAGTTAGAAAATCTGTACCTTGCCTTTCTGAGAATTTGCCAAGGTCCTGGGGGGTGGGGGGAGAGCAGGAGTAAAATTCAAACAACTGCTGCTTTCCCAGCTGGCATTTCCCACCCAAATTCTTTGTAGTCATGGCCAAATCCTGCATTTCTGGGACCTATGCCCTATTATTACCAAACAATCCTTACCAAATGAGCTGCTAGAGGATTTTCTAGGTATTTATCTTTTGCCATTAAAATTCATTAATTAAACTTGAACACGCCACACTGTGTCAGACCTGGGAGGTTTCCCAATGCTCTTGGGGACATGGTGGTCTTCCTGCCATAACAGGAATACAGCCCCACCCAGCTCTACCTGGACTGATTGGAAAGTAGCTATAAAAACTGAAAAACAGCTGCTCTGAACAAGTGATTGCACCACTCACATCGACACCGCCCCTGCAAACCCAGGAAGGAGCTGCGGCCACTCACGGGAACGAGGTCCTTGATCACGTACATGTGCGGGAGGGGGTAGATTTTTGAGACCTTGTTGAGGTCGGTGTCGATCCTGCGGGTGCAGGCGAGCGTGTTGCCTCCATTGATGTTCATGGCACAGGAGCCACAGATACCTGAGGGGAAGACCCAGACTCAGGCCCACGCCAGCTCCTTTCTCCTGGGCAGTCACTGCTCTACCACGAGGAGCAGCACCGACATGGGACATCTCTTGCCTTTCCTCTTTCCTCCTCCTTCCTGTCTAGAAGGTGGATTTCATGACTGAAGCTCCAAAAACCATTTTGTGGCAACCTTGAGGTTAGAAGCCACACAGTGAGGACGGCTCTGCAGAGGGTCAGAGGGGCCCGGGGTGCTCCTGGCCCCATGCAGTTCCCATATCAACCTCAGCTCCATGCTAGTCGTGCTCCCTTTACTGAGCCCCGGGGGCTCTGTGCCAGGCAAATGCTCTATCACTGAGCAACAATCCAGCCCAAGAGTCATGTATCTTCAGAAAAACTGGCCACCTTCTTTTCTTTTTTTTAAGGCACAAACTTAAATTCTAACAGATGCAGTGCCCAAAGCTCATCGACATGGTTTTGGTCATCTCAAAGCTGAGGCCTTGCCACAGATCACCGAGTGAGCGCGCCCACTCTCTGTGCCACAACAGGCAGCGCAGTGGCGGCTCTGAGCTCTACCCCGCGTACTGACTGAACACTCACTTTTCAAGGAGAAGCAGAACGAGCTGAAGCAAAGCAAAGCAAAGCAAAATAAGATGCCGAGCCAGGCCAGGAGGTGCACGCCCACAATCCCAGCTACTCAGGAGGCTGAGGCAGGAGACAAGTTCGAGGCCAGCCTGGGCAACTTAGCGAGACCCTGTCTCAAAATAAAAAATAAAAGGGTCTGGGGATGTGGCTCAGTGATGGAGGGCCCCTGGGTTTAACCCCCCATCTCCACCACACACAAAATCACATGCCAACCAAGGACCTTGACAAGTGAGGTCTCTTAGCCTGGACTTATTTCCTGTGACACTGACACTGGCTTTTTCTCTTGGGAAGGTCACATTAGGAAGAAAGCTAGCTCAGGCCCTTAAGTCCATGAAGCTAACCAACACCGTCTTGGTCATCTCAAGGTGAAGGCTCACCCTCATGGCCACACAACAAGCAGCACAGTGGTGGCAAGTGCTGGGAACCAGCTGCCTCTCGCTTTCCAAGCCCGGGTTTGGGATCTGGAACGCACCCCCAAGGCCCACGTGTTGGTCTGGTCTCCAGGGAAGAAGTGTTCAGAGGTGGGGCCCCAGGGACTGACTGGGGCACAAGGGCTCTAGCCGCTGTCTCTCACTTCCCACCGCCATGAGGTGGGTGATTTCCTCTGCCACTACCTTCCACTGTGATGTCGGCCTGGCCACAAGCTCAGAAACAGTGGAGTGAGATGACACGGACTGAAAATGTAAGCCAACAAGGATTTCATCCTTTTTCCTTTAAGCTGATTTTCTCAAATACTTCATTACAGCAACAAAAACTGACTAATGTACCCAGTGAGCACCGAGTACACCCTGGGGTCTAATGGCCTTGGCTGACTCCTGTGTATCCTCAGAGAAGTCCCTTCACCTCATCTGTCTGTCAGGGTAAATAGCAACACTATCTCTTTGGTCACCTAAAGTGCACAAAACAGCTGGCTCACAGCCTGGCCCCTGTTCACCAGGGCAAGTCTTCACAGCACTGTGTGTAATTCTGGTCACATCTGAGAACCCTTTTAGTTCTCTTTGAGTCATTTCAAGTTTTACTTTAAAAAAATCTACATTTGTATGCCTATTATACTATCACTAGTAATCATATTTTTGTAATATATAGCCATTTTAAAGTAGGAAATGCTGGTGTTCCCACTGTCTTAACAGCTCCCATGGTACCAGCAGTACAAGTCACCAGACCAAGGGAGATGCTGCCCCAACAATCTAGAGCATGCCTGCCGGGCTTCTATTCTCGCGACTAAAAGGCTCAGGGGTCACTCCAGTCAAACTGGGCAGCACGAAATAACCACACAAGAGACACAAATACCTTTTTCTTTGGGGTCTCTGTGATGGCTCCTCTGACCTTAAGGGTCCGCAGAAAGAGAGAGAGCTAGACCACGCACTGACCCCTTTTATGGAGGAGAAGCTATTCAAATGAGGCAAGGGGTCAGGTTTCAGGGGGCTGAGTATCTTCATGATGTCCACTGTCAGCAGGTTGACTGACACCTGGGTAGGCCACACCCAAGGGCACGGTAAGAGAGGGGGACACACACAAGGCACTATCATAGAAGATTCTACCCTAAACAGGGCAAGGGGTTATATTACAAAGGAACAGGTGAGCGTAGCTTCACCCATGGGGCTGTAACAAGACACCGACCCTCGCACCCAAGAAGGGTGCCACATTGCTGCGACTGAGAGCCTCAGCACCCAGCCGGGGAGTGTAACTCAGTCACATGTAAAGTTGGCCTCCCACACATGCCTACTGTGCACACACAATGATGGCAGCCAAGAGGACATGCATCACCCTGGGAGACAAGCGCAGGTGTGCACAGGCATCAGCAGGAAGCCCGCCACCACTCCCTAAGCAGTGAGCTCGGCAGTGCGTGTGGCCAGCAGCACATGCCCCCTCATCCCTGAGGCGTGTGCAGCTAACAGAGACCATGCAACAGAAAGTTCCTGAGGGAAAGCGAACTCAGGAACTGGAACTTGCCCCAGGGTCTAAATTTCAATTCAGTTACATGAGAAAAGGAAAGGTGACATGCAGCAAGGTCATACGGCAGAGCAGCAACTGCTTCCCGGATGTCTCCATTGCTTCATGTCGGCCCAAACCTCTTGGGAGAGCCAGAACATAAATGTCGGGGCCTAACGGGAATTAAATGCTTACCTTCTCTGCATGACCTTCGGAAGGTCAAGGTAGAATCCATTTCATTCTTAATCTTGATTAAAGCATCCAATACCATGGGACCACATCTGACAATAGAAAAACCTCAGTTGTACTTATGAAAGTTCAAAACTCCCCAGCTGGTCATAACATGATCTGAGATACTTGGATATATTTATCATTCGTTTGACCTTTTCAGATCAGACAAAAATATTTTCACAATTTTATCTTTCATTTTTTTTTTTTTTTTGGGGATCAAACCCAGAGGTGCTGTACCCGAGCTATAGCCCAGCCCCTTTTTGTTTTTTACTTTGAGACAGGATGCCCAGGTTGGCCTTGAACTTGTGATGCTCCTGCCTCGCCTTCCAAGTACCTGGGATAATAGGGGTGCGCCACTGCACCCAGCCTTCTGCTTTCTTCTTCTTCTTCTCTTTTTTCTTTCTTTCTATCTATCTATCTATCTATCTATCTATCTATCTATCTATCTATCTATCTATCTATCGTTGTAGATGGACACGATACCTGAATTTTTACTATTTATTTATTTTTATGTGGTGCTGAGGATCAAACCCAATGCCTCACACATGCGAAGTATCACTGAGCTACAATCCCAGCACCCCTTCTGCCTTCTTTTAAGGAAATATTTTTAGATTAAATATTTTTAGAAATGAACTTTAATTTC